TATGGCGACAGATGGTGAGAGAGAGATCAGTTTAACTTTAAACCCACACCGCTTTACTTCCCGTCCCCTGAGGAAGCTGTCAGAAAGACCTGGATCATTTCATCAAATGGATTTTGTAATGATGCTCCAATTCCACACACCAAAGTGGAATCAGCAAAACCCCTTTCACACTGCACGTTGGTTCCGGAAAAATTGCCAGAGTGCCTTCTGTGTGAACGCAAAGGGATCGATCACGGGTTGGGGACCTAGTAACATTGCCGGGTTCAGTCCCGGAACGAGCCTTGTGTGAACAAAAGCCAGAACCAATGCCGTAAAGGGTGTGTTGTTGTGATGAGCACGTTATCGTACGACTCTTTTACTGGGTGTTTTGAAGGCAGATCAATGTTAGCGACGAAAAAATATGTGCAAACTGGTATGAAGCGGAGATCAGGGAGCTCCTCACTATCCGTGCTGAAGCTGAGATCGTTCGCCAGCTTAAACCAGGCTCACACTACAGGATTATTGGCTGGATTTTGCTGTCGCGGACAGATTTCCAGTCTGCTACAAAACCCCTGGATCGTGACCAAATCGGTGCTCGTTGCGGTCGCCGAAGCTCGTTAAGTATGAGCAGGTCAGCAACATTATCCGAACCTGTCTCGAGCTATCACAGACGCTACGACATTTAAACCTGTTTGATATTATCGTCACGGGATCTCGTAATGTGAGCGACACAATGACAAGGTGGAACTAATCCAGCCAATCACAGTGCAGATGGTATAAACACTCTTATCATGCATCTTTATGAACAGAAACGAAGAGCCACAAATTAATCAAATCAGCTAACTAGAAATAAATTTAACAAATGCATAGATTGTGTAGGCTATATAATACCATGTTTCATTGTACTGTTTAATTACCTCCAACTGCAGTACTTGACAGTCCTTGTTGTCCACGTCTTCCAAGCCATTGTTTCTGCCACATTCTCTTTTGTCATGGTTTCTTTCTTTCGGATAAAATAACTGCACAGACCAATTGAAAGGCCAGTTGATCGTCCATGCTTGAAGATATGGGCTATAATCGCTGTAATTTCTCACGAGAATTTATGTGAGAAAACGTATTTTCGCTGATGGTCGGGAACGCCTCTTCACTGAATGTTTTGTAGTGTGTGCACCTCGTTAGCGTTGTGTTGTGTAGTGTGCTCGCAGCTACAACAAGACGACGACAGATGAGAAGAAATCTTGTTGCGTAGTTTGAGCAACGCACGACTTTGTCGCTGCATGTCGCCAGGGGCTGGCGATGAGGTTGCTAGTGGGCGTTCTCACTACTGGTTGCCTTGACAGCGAATCAAGTTTCTTGCGCTAAATACAAACATTTTGGAGGCAAAAGACTAAATATAATATAAATATGAATTAAATCCATACATACAAACAAAAATGAATGAGAAACAGAGCCTACTTTTTTCCATTGCGTTTGTTTATCTAAGGCTGAGAGGAGAACGATCACATGAGCTCTACCGTCTTCTTTCCTATTGGCTGTCGCTCCCATCGCTCTTCATTTGCATAAAGCTGAAAGATTCTGACATTTTTCGTGTCGCTGGACACATAAATGCACCTTTAAGTTGGTTTGCCAACCGCCTATAAAATTTAAAGAAGAAGAAGTGTCGCTGGACACGCCCCATCCGTCACCAACAGCCGCTGTCGCACTTGCTGCCGGAAATCACTGGCAGTATGAATGAACCAAAATTAAACCATCCCTGGACAAATCACGGAAAACATTATCCGTGTATTTTCCGGAATCTTTGCGTGAAAGGGGCTCAAGAGAGTTTGTTTACACCGTATATCGTGGTGTCTTCACCCCGGCGTTCAGCATGCAGTTCTGGGGCGGCATCCAAAAATGATTCACCTGCGCTTTGTGGAAATGGATCTGCTCCGTGGAGGGTTTGCCAGATGTCGTGTTACTTGTCTGTGTAGTTGTCAAATGGAAGAAGGATGTAGAAAGAACAACTAAAGGCGATTGATTTTGTTTTTGTTGATGGATAGGCTGCCTTGTTGAGCTTCAGAGCTCCAGGTCATTCCTATGGGACGTTCTGTAAAGCTTATCTGACCCGAGCAACAGTAAACAAAGTGGGCCGAAAGGATTGTTGTTAAGAGCACAATCAGGTGCTTCTGTGTTCGATCAGGGTAACGTCACTTTGAACGTTCTCGAAATGTATCTGTTTTATTTATCTAATTATTTTGACTATTGTTAATGTATTGCTAGTTTTCTCATAATCTATCTTCTCATAATTGATTTTTCCTAAAATATTGCTGTCAATCCCTTAATTTTGACTTTATTTTCAAAATATTACTCCTTTATTCTTATGATTATCACGTTTATTATACAAATATTAGCCACTATACTTTTCGAAAATATCACTCCTTTATTCTCATCATTTTACTTTTATTCACAAAATATTTCTATCATCAAAATATTACTAATTTATTTTAAGAATTTTGGCTTGACAAGATATTAATATTTTTCTCAATATATATGTTTTCATAATTTTGACTATTCTCAAAATATTGCTCCTTTATTCTCAAAATTTCACTCCTTTATTCTCATAATTTATTCACAAACTATACTATCCTCAAAATATTTCTTATTTATTGTTTATAATTGAGTATTTACAAAATATTGCTCCATTTCTCAAAATTTTACCAATTTATTCACATTATTTTACTACTATTCTCAAAATATTACTTCTTTTTCATAAATTTGACTATTCACAAAATATTACTTTTCTCAAAATATCTCATAATTTTAACTTTATACACAAAATATTACTACTATTCTCCAAATATACTTTTCATAATTTTGACTATTCACAAAATATTATACTTTTCTTAAAATATTAGTACTTTATTCAAATGCTTATCACTTTATTCTCAAAATATTTTTACAATTTTATCTCTAAATTTTACATACATGCATCATAGTTTAACTTTTCTATGTGATGCCATAGATAAACTGTTTTTTTTGGTTCCCCAAAAATTGTTCGCTGAAAGAAAGTTTTAGCAAACAGTTCTTTATAGAACTATTTTTTTTCTTAGTGTGAAGTAAGTGTTAAAAATCTCAAGAACCTTGGCCTTGACTTTGGGTCCTCGGAGGACCTGCCATGAATTTCTCATGTGACTTAAAATAGAAAGTACAGGCAAGCTGGAACGTCTCAAGCCTGTTGCCAGGCATTGATGAATTATTCAGCTATAATGGAAAACACACTGTGATCATAGAGCCACATGTGGCAGTTTCAAGCAACAACTACAAAATCTCACTTTGTTTCTGTCTCCGTCTCCTCCTTTCTTTTAAGCTTTCACTTTTTTCCTCTCACACTGGCTTGGCTACATTGGCGTGGCCGTGCTTTGTGGAGTGTTTTTTTTTCTTTTTTATGTGATTTTGACTTTGTCATTGTGGGGAAATTTGTCAAGGACACAATCAGGTTCTTCGTCGTCTGTGTTCGATCCTTTTTTTTCTTGTAATTGAGACTTTGATATCCCACAATGTGACTCTCTCATAAATTGCAGCTTTATTTTTTGCAAATGCAACTTTTGTCTTCTAATTGGGACTTTTGTAACTCACAATGCGTTAAATATATGAGTGTCACAGCAAAGGGTCTGAATACTTAGGACCATGTGATATTTCAGTTTTTCTTTTTTAATAAATCTGCAAAAATGTCAACAATTCTGTGTTTTTCTGTCAATATGGGGTGCTGTGTGTACATTAATGAGGAAAAAAAATTAACTTAAACGATTTTAGCAAATGGCTGCAATATAACAAAGAGTGAAAATTTTAAGGGGGTCTGAATACTTTCCGTACCCACTGTATATCATACATTGCAGCTTTATTTTTTCTTGTAATTGGGGTTTTATATTTCACTTTGCAGCTATCTCGTAAATGTCAAGCTTTATAAGCTCATAAATAAAGCTTTATTTTTTGAAATCGCAACTTTTTCTTGTAATTGGGACTTTTATGTCTCGCTGTGTGACTATATATCATAAATTACAGCTTTATTTTTGTAATTGCCCCTTCTTCTTGTAATTGGGACTTTTATATCTCACAATGTGACTATATACTGTATCATAAATTACAACTTTATTTTTATAATTACAACCTTTTCTTATAATTTGGAACTTTTATATCTCATTGTGTGCCTATATATAATAAATTACAGCTTTTTAAAAATAATTGCCACTTTTTCTTGTAATTGGGACTTTTGGGATCTCACTGTGTGTGTATATATCATAAATTGTAGCTTTATTTTTGTAATTAGTCTTTTATATCTCACAATGTGACTCATAAATTGCATCTATGTTTGTAATTGCAACTTTTTTTCTTGTATTTAGACTTATAGCTTACAGTGTGACGCTTTCACAGCTGTGACTATTATAGCTGCATAATAGCCATTTTTCTTGTAATTGCAATTATATCTTACAATGCGACATTCACAATTCACAATTGCAACTTTCTCACAATTTCTCAGTTGCAAAATTCTGTTTCATAATTGTGACTTGTTTTCTTGTAATTGCTGCTGACAATTATGATTTTATATCATAATTGCAGTTTTCTTTCTTGTAATTGCAACTTTTTCTGTTTTTTTAAATCTCAGTGACGTTCTCACATTTGCAACTTTATTTCCTATCATTGCGTCTCTTGTCATTGCAACTTAATCTCACAGTTTTTTTTTTTTTCGTAATTAGAACTTTATATCTTACAGTTGTAACGGTTTCTTATAATTAGGACTTTATATCGCACAGTCCTAATGTGACAGTATCTCCAATATCAATTATCTTTTATTCTTCACTTTAAGGTGGAAACTGATTTCCATTAATCATCATCAATCAAAAGCCTGACTGGATTGTTTTTCCATGAGGGCTTTTTCCACTTGTGTGTCATAATGGGTGTCCCATGTTTTGTCTGTAACTCAAGCTGAGGCATATGGAGCCTATGGACCTGTATTTTGCTCAAGTCACTCCAAACTTAACCTCAGGCTCATTATCCCGCAACAGCTGCTGGGGTCAATGGTGACCTGGTGTCAAATGGTTGTCACCGTGTTCTCAAATTTATACAGGCCAACTGAATGCAGTGATGAAGGTATGGAGTCATGTGCTAGTATAATTTGTAAATCCTCTGTCAAAAGCTAAATTTCCATGAGAAGAGCATAAAAACTAGTCACAACGTCTCTTTTTAATTCACTCAAGTGAGCCAAGAGTGTGTGCGTTTGACTTGATCAATGTGCATTTTCAGGCTTCAAATGGCTTTGCGATTCAGTTCTAGAGTTCAAACCTCTCAGGCAGTTCATCTCCACTAGTGTCAGACAGAGATTAGACAAACCATTGATTTTGAGACACTTTAAAAGCAGTTTATTCTTTGAAAGACATTTCAACAGCGAAACCTCAAAACGCTCAAGACACCCTTGAAACGGCAATTTTATAAATGTCGTTCTATTCTCACTGACAGTTATGGATTCCCAGCCTTTTTTGGTTGATGCTCCATCTAAAACACAGTAAGCTGTCTACAGATGTAGTATTTTAGGGGATCACAGGCTCTTCCGAGGTTTCAGGTAGGCAATTAGCCTTTTTAAATTAGCCTTTTTTTAAGACACTGCTAATGCTTTGCATTCAAGCTCACTTAAGATAATGGTTAATTGAGATTAAAATGTTGTTTATATGTTCTTATATTTCATTCATTGAAAAAGTGTCGATGTAAAAGTTATTAAGTGTAATTAAAACTTGATTTTACCTAATTTATGTTAGCTTGAATGTACATTTTATGCTTATATTATGCTGTTAGCTTAGCAACATGCTAACTAATAACATGTCGCATTCTCCTGTGAGGAGCACTATTTTGTTGTTGCCTATTTAGTGCACTCCTAATTAGTCACATATAAAGTTGCATGACAGCTAGGATTCCGCCTATGTAGGCAGCTTGTTAGTTTTTTAAAACAGCAACTATGTCAGAGGAGAATTTGTGGGTTTTTGCCAAAGACTTCTTATAATTGGGAGGAACGGGGTAAATTACTGAGGTAAAGACTGAGCTTTAGCTTTCACACAGCAGGAGAATAAGAAACAGCTCTCAATGGTGCTTAATAACTTCAGCTAATAGTGTCTAATTGCTCTCGCTGATTTGTAAGCAGCAAGAACATTGATTAAAGGTGACGATGTTGCGAAGAGGCAGCAGACGGGTTGCCAACAGCCGGAGGGTCTGATTGTCATTGCAGCTGCTGCAACTAGCAATAAAGGATTGCCAATCTGAACCAAAGGTCACGCTCTGACTGAATAAACAACTAGCATATCTATTAGCACATTAGCATAGCGGTGCACTAAGATCCTGTGTAAGAAAAATATGTTTCAGATGGTCCCACGGGAGTAAAAGTGATCCAAATGTTTTGTGAGGTAGTCAAAAAAAAATTGCTGTTTTTATTTGTAGCATAAATGCTAATCCATTCTGGACTTGCTAAACAGGACCAAAGTCATACTTCAAAAAATTCAGCAGAATATTTAAATGTGTGTGTGAGTGTGTGTTTTGTGAGACTGATTCTGAAATCACATGATAAACATCCATATATCC